TTTCATTTTTCCAACAATTGGTTGTTCTGGTAGTGAAATAGATATGACCTTTAAGAACTTAAGATCTTCCTCTGCTGGGTTCTATTGTCAGAACCACTACCTTGGTTAAATTTATTCCAAGATATTTTATTCTTTTTATTGCAATTGTAAATGGGTTTACATTCTTGACTTCTCTTTCTGCTAGTTTGTTAGAAGTGTACAGAAATGCAAGTGATTTTTGAATGTTGATTTTGTATCCTGCAACTTTGCTATGGTTGTTGATTATTTCTAATATTTTCTGTTGGATTTTTAGGGTTTTCTATATATACAATCATGTCATCTGCAAACAGTGAGAGTTTTACTTCTTACGTTCCAATTTGGAACCCTTTTATTTCTTTTACTCACCTAAATGTTCTGGCCAAGACTTCCAGTACTATGTTGAATAGGACTGGTGAGAGTGGGCACCCTTGTCTTGTTCCTGTTCTCAGAGGGATGGCTTTCAGTTTTTCACTAAGTATGATGTTGGCTGTGGGTTTGTCATACATGGCCTTTATTATGTTGAGGTACTTTCCCTCTATACTCATTTTCTTGAGAGTTTTTATCATAAATGAATGTTGGATCTTATCAAAAGCTTTCTCTGAACCTACTGAGATGATCGTGTGGTTATTATTCCTCATTTTGTTAATGTCGTGTATCACATTGATTAATTTACAGATGTTGAACCATCTCTGAATTCCTGGAATAAATCCCACTGGATCATGGCAGAGGTGAAAGACCTATACACTGAAAACTACAAGAAATTATTGAAAGAAATGAAAGAAGACATAAAGAAGTAGAAAGATATTCCATGCTCATGGATTGGAAGAATAAACACAGTTAAAATGTCGATTTTACCTAAAGAAATCTACAGATTTAATGCAATGCCAATCAGAATCCCAATGACATTCTCCATGGAAATAGAACGAAGAATCCTAAAATTTATATGAAACAGCAAAAGACCCCAAATGGCCATAACACTCCTGAGAAAAAAGAACAAAGCTGGAAGTATCACAATCACTGACTTCAAAATATACTACAAAACTATTGTAATCAAAACAACATGGTACTGGCAGAATAAGAGGCACACAGATCAATGGAACAGAATTGAGGGTCCAGAAACAAAACCACACATCTATGGACAGCCAATCTTCAACAAAGGAGGCAAGGACATACAATGGAGAAAGGAAAGTCTCTTCAACAAATGACGTTGGGAAAACTGGACAGTCATGTGGAAAAGAATAAAAGTAGACCATCATCTTACACCACACACAAAAATTAACTTGAAATGGATTAGTGGGGCTGGCCAGATGGCATAGTGGTTAAGTTTGTGCACTCTGCTTTGGTGGCCAGAGTTCACAGGTTTGGATACCGGGCGCAGACCTAGCACCACTCATCAAGCCGTGCTGCAATGGCATCCTACATAAAATAGAGGAAGACTGTCACAGATATTAGCTCAGTGAGTCAATCTTCCTCACATACACACAAAAATGGATTAAAGACTTAAATGTAAGACTTGAAACCATAAAATTTCTAGAAGAAATATAGGCAGTACACTCTTTGACATCGGTCTTAGCAGTATGTTTTTGAATACTGTTTCCACTCAGAGAAGGGAAACAAAAGAAAAAACTAACAAATGGGACCATATCAGACTAAAAAGCTTCCGCAAGGCAAAGGAAATCATCAACAAAATGAAAAGACAACCCACCAACTGGAAGAAAACATTTGCAAGTCATTTATCTGAGAAGGGGTTAATTTCCAGAATATATAAAGAACTCATATAAGTCAACAACAATAAAAGAACAATCCAATCAAAAAATGAGCAGAGGGAGCCAGCCCAGTGATGTAATGGTTAAGGTCACATGCTCTGCTTCAGCAGCCTGGGGTTCACAGATTCAGATCCTGGGCACAGAGCTTCACATTGCTCATCAAGCCATGCTGTGGCAGCATCCCACATGCAAAATAGAGGAAGATTGGCACAGATGTTAGCTCAGGGCCAATCTTCTTCACCAAAAAAAGAAAGAAAGAAAGAAAGAAATGCACAGAGGGTACTAACAGACATTTTTCCAAAGAAGACATAAAGGTTGCCAACAGGCACATGAAAAGATGTTCAACATCACTAATCATTGGGGAAATACAAATCAAAACTATAATGAAATATTACCTTATATCTATTAAAATGGCTATAATTAACAAACAAGAAATGAAAAATGTTGGAGAGGATGTAGAGAAAAGGGAACTCTCATACACTGCTGGTGGGAATGCAAACTGGTGCAGTCACTATGGAAAATGGTATGGAGATTTCTCAAAAAATTAAAAATAGAAATACTATATGATCCAGCTATCCCACTACTGGGTATTTATCCAAAGAACATGAAAATAGCAATTCAAAGAGATGCATGCATCCCTCTGTCCATCGCAGCATTATTCACAATAGCCAAGATGTAGAAGCAACCCATGTGCCCATCAACAGATGAATGGATAAACATGTGGTGTACATATATATATATATACACACAATGGATTACTACTCATCCATAACAAAAGATAAAGTTGTGCCATTTGCGACAACATGGATGGACCTTAAGGGTATTACGCTAAGTGAAATAAGCCAGACAAAGACATACACTGTATGATTTCACTCATATGTGATAAACAAACACATGGATATTGAGTACAGATTAGTGCTTATCAGAGGGCAAGGAGGTGGGGGCAGGGCAAAAAGGGTAAAGGGTATATATGTATGGTGACCGACAAACACTAGACTATTGGTGGTGAACACAATGCAGTCTATACAGAAAGTGATACATAATAATGTACACCTTCAATTTACACAATGTTATAAGCCAATATGACCTCAATAAAGAAAAAAAGAACCACTATACACTATATGCCAGAGGCTAGCCAAAGCATACTGATTTCTCAAATGCAAGAAATGACTGCTGATCACTACGGATGTTTAGAGAAAAAAAGAACAGCTACTTTATATGCAAACAAAGTGCTAATTCTTTTGAGCTGCGGCAAATAGCTAGCAATAGCCCAGATCTTTATCCTAAATTATAGCCCATCTGAGGAGAGAATGAGGCAATTAGGAGCACTGTCCCTCAAAAAAAGAAACAGATTTTACATTATAGAGAGTAAAGCTATGTAAAATAATGAATTCTCCGTAAGGTATTATCAGACATAATTGTTTGAATTAATAAATGAATATAGAATTCTCAATTTCACTTCAATTCAAAAACACCCACTGAGAATCTAGTATTTGCTGGGACATACACTTGTCAACTGAAAACAAAAATAAATAAAATACTAATTTCCTCCAATTTTAAGAGTTTTTCAGTTCAACCGCCAATTATCAAGCAAAGGGGCATTGATGAAGTCTTTAATTTAACACGTGAAATAATTATGGGCATAATGGTAGAAATATGAGTTATAGAAGCAAGCCACTCAATGCTTATCATTTTGAATCAACAGCCATTTGCAGCATTCCAGATAAAAGGTATAGAAACTTCCATTTATCCAACCATTTTTTTAAACAGATGCTTAACATTCAGTAATACTCATTACATCATTTACAACCCTCCAGCTGTGACTTTTAACTATGTAATAATGTACAGAGAAAGTCTTTGGTGTTCTAAGACTGTGTGGCTGTGCAATTTCTGTACACTTGCAATTAGAAATATTAAAGATTTATTGAGCTATTCTAAGCCTGACAAAAAAAAAAAAAAAATGAATACTCTTTCTGCCTTGCATAGCCCAATACAGTAGCCACCAGCCACCAGCTACAAGTGGAATTTAGACTAAAGTTAATTAAAATGAAATAAAATTAAAAATTAAACCCTCAATCACACTAGCCACATTTTAAAAAATTTTTTATTTTATTGCGGTAATGAAACAGGCAGAGAGTTAACCATTGATGATTAAGTAGCTGGGAACTAAAATTTTTTTCCCTTTTGCAATTACGGATTATAGCTTTCAGCTGTTTAGCCCATCCATTGTTAACTGTGCTGCTTAGGCAATATGTTCTCTGATTCCCACTAGGCTCCTAGAGAGAACATCTCCCTGCAGCCTGGGTCACCACGGTAATGGGTGCGCGAGCTGTTTTTCAGGAGTTAGAGCTCCTTGTCCACTTCAGGCTAGTTGAGACCACCAGCTTATCAACTGGGCCCACGTAGATGTCCAATAGGTGACCTTTTGACATCAAGAGGCTAAAAACTCCACTCTCAGATCATGCTAACGCCACAATTTTGTGAGCATGGGTACTACAAAGAGGCAAGAAGTTTGACTACGCTTGCTCAGATCATCAATTACCTCACCTCTCCTCACCTCCAGTCATCTGTCTCCACATTTCAGACCACCTTGCCCCCTGTCCCATAAATATCCCTGAGTCTCTATTTTCAGGGAAGTGAATTTGAGGCTCCTGCTCTCGATTCCTCACGTGGCTGCCTTGTGAGTAAACTCTCTCTCTGCTGCAATCTCATCGTCTCGGTGTTTGGCTTTCTGGGCGGTGGGCAAAAACAAACCTGGTTCGGTAACAACAAGAACACTCACCATGAGATCTACTCTCTTAACAAATTTTGAAGTGTACACTACAGTATCATTGACCATAAGAAGAGGCGGATGAGGAGTTACTAATCAATGGGCATAAAGTTTCAGTAAGCAACATGAACAAGTCCCAGAGATCTGCTATACAACATTGTACACCAGCCACATTTGAAGTGCACAATGACCATATGTGCCTAGGGGCCTGCCATATTGTATTACAGAAAATGTCTCATCACAGAAATTTGTATTGGTCTCACAAGTTGAACCCATCTTCCTAATTAACTGAATAGGAGGAACCACTGAATTTTAAAAGTAATTAAAGTTGATCTTTTTTTCTTCAATAGTGTATATTGTTCTACGTAATTGAATGCATTCTATTCTGTTGTAAAATTAATGGCTTACTTTCTTTTCTCTTTCTGGTTGTAAAACAAATGTCTTACTTTCTTCTGTTGGCAAGTGTCTCTTCACCATTTCTTGCAGAGATCTTCATTCCATGCTTCTCTTTGATCCCATCAAAAGAACAGCGGGGGCTTTGTGTGGGTGATCTGATTGGACGGCCACAAATCTTATTTACCTTTTAAATCAAAATATTAAAAGACAGTTAGAAACCATTCTCAAGGCTTTCTGAGAAGATAGTGTTTGCTAGAGCCCAAACAATGACCTGTTCTTATTTATTTATACTTCAATATTAACCTTTAAGACATAAAATGTTTGTCAATTTTTCAAACAGGGGGAATCAAATTATCTGTTCTTGTATATCATGAACCATGATAAATTGATGCTAGGCACATTTATATATTTGCATGTATACATGTGCACAATATATGAATAAAAATATATATGCAAAATCAGAGAACTATATTAATAAACCAGACTACTTGTATAAATAAGACTATTTAACCAAAGAGATATTATTTATGGTTTACATTTATATGTATGACTAATCACATACTTGTACTGATTTTTAAAATAAAATAATTTGCTATTGAATATGCAGTCAGTTTCTAAATGAGCTCTAAGTGTTGTTTCCTTCTTAAGGTCCTTTCTTAGAAATAATAATGAATATGTATATATAAAGATCTCATTTTGTAATATTTCCATATTTTATTCCTCAATTTGGTTTGATTTTGAGGGTTATGATAGTCTTTTTTTAAAAAAAATAATTTGGGGTGGCCCCGTGGCACAGCGGTTAAGTTCGTGCTCTCCGCTTCAGCAGCCCAGGATTGGTCTGTTCAGATCCCAGGTGTGGACCTACACACCACTTATCAAGCCATGCTGTGGTGGCATCCCACATATAAAATAGAGGAAGACTGGCACAGATGTTAGCTCAGGGCCAATCTTCCTCAGCAAAAAGAAGATTGGCAGCAGATGTTAGCATTAGCTCAGGGCTAAGCTTCCTCAAAAAAATAAGTAAACAAAGGAAAAACAATAAATTTAAAAAATGAATTAAAAATAAAAATATAATTTATCCAAATGGAAAATTCATTGTTTTTTTTTTGAGGATGGTTAGCCCTTAGCTAACATCTGCCACCTAATTTTTTTAAAATACTTATGTAGCAAAGATCTTTGTAAAATTTACATAACTATCATTAAATTTAAGTAATTGATTAGACACATTACCATGTAAAACATCATAGTGGTTAAGTTGGCACACTGTGCTCATCAGGCCATGCTGTGGCAGCTTCCCACATACAAAACAGAGGAAGATTGGCACAGATGTTAGCTCAGGGCCAATCTTCCTCACCAAAAAAAAAAAAAAAAAAAAGACTTATATGATACCTTATACACTTAAAGAGGCAGAGCAATATAATTGAAAATATATAAAAGCATTGCCTGGGATTCAGGACATTTGGCTCTTGTCCTAATTTTGCCTCCTTAAGCACTGAGATCCTAAAAGCAGTGGCAGAACTTCTCTCATCTTGATTCTTTTATACGTAAGATGAAGAAGTAAAATTATTCCAAAGTTCCCTTAAAGTTCTAAATTTCTTTGACTTTCCATGCAATGAACATTACAGGAGTTATGCATCATTTCGTTTATCTAACTCATAATTATTTTGCTTCTAATATTTTCAAAGATCATGTACTAGACATTATAAGAGATAAAAGATGAGAAACTGAATTTTGCCTGAAAAGAGCTGACAATTTAGAAAAACAATTCCTCCCAAACATCAAAATGCAAGTTGTGTGTGTCAAAAAAAGTGGTGCTGAGGGGTTGGCCTGGTGGCATATTGGTTAAGTTCACGCACTCAACTTTGGTGGTGCAGGGTTCACAGGTTCAGATCCTGGGTGCAGACCCACATACGACTCATCAAGCCATGCTGTTGCAGCATCCCACATATAAAATAGAGGAAAGCTGCACAGACAGTAGCTCAGGGCAAATCTTCCTCACCAAACAAAACAAAACAAAAAAACATGGGACTCCCAAGGCATTATGGGCATCTAGAGGAAGGGGATGTCATTTCCATTGGGATGATGGGTGAAGAAAGAAATCAGGAAAGACCACTATGGGAAAGTCTGCTCCATTGGGATGAGACTTGGAGCATCTGTGGGCCTGAATATGTTGAGGTTTATTTCAATTCAACCAAATTATAAATATACCGATATTTATTGCACCCCCATTCTGTTAGATGCTAGAGATAGAAACACGAATAAGGAGTGTCCTGCGCACACAGTTCAGATGGAAATCAGACATGTAAAATAACAATTGTAATACCACAGGACAAGAGCAACCATAGAAATAGGTAGAAGTAAGCAACACTGTAACACTAGAAGATGGACAGATTAACTCTATTTGGGGTGCTCAGGGAAGAGAGAGCTTCAAGAGGTCATATCTAAACAGCAGGCAAAAGGATGAACCAGAAGTTCAGAACAAAGCAGAGGAAAAATTCCAGGAGAGAGTAGAAAAGCAAAGAGATGTACAACAACTTAACATGTTTACCTAGAATGAAAAGTACATAGTGAAAGAAAGTGGTGTAGCAAGAGGTAAGACATAAAAATGCCATCATATGACTTGGATAACGAGTTAAAGAACTTGCTCCAGCAAATGGAGAGCACGCAAGAGGTTCTAAGTGAAGGCAAGGTAGTTTTAGATTTCCATGGAAGAAAAATCATCTTGACAGCAGTACACAGACAGGGAGATGAAAGAAGTTCTTTCAGTGGAGCACTAGAGAAATGCTGGGGCCCAAAGCCAGTGGCAGAAGTGATGAAAAGGAAGAAGCAGATGTAAGAGGTGGCCAGGAGGGAGAGACAGTAGCATGGAGACTGATTAGATATATAATGTTGTCAGAACAAAGAATAATGATGAAAGGCAGAGGGAAAAACCTGGGAGAGAGAGGTGCAAGAAAACACAAGGCTGACATAGAAAATGGATAAAAATTTGGTTTGCCTGGAAAGAAGGGGTCATGAAGGGCAACAGTAAAAGGAAATTATGTTTGAAGGGTAGGTTGGAGAGAGATCTTGGAGGGTTCTAAATGCCAGGTTAAGTTTGATTTACTAGACAAAAGCCTCTGATGGCTGTTGAGTGGAAAAGTAAAATACCAGAGATGAGATTTAGCAAATGAATCTGGCAGCCTTGAATGAGTTGAGGGAGAGAAGAGACCTACTAAAGGCAGGTAAACTGTTAATAAATTCCTGAAGCTGTCCTGAGAAAAGAAGATTTTATTCTGAACTATAGTAGTGACTGTCCACAGAGAGAAGGACTCATGAATTATAAACAGAAGTACAATCAAGAAGGCCAAATGCAGAACACTGACAGCCCCACATGCTGTGCAGCATGTATAGCAACAAGAATTCTCATTCATTGCTGGTGGGAATGCAGAATGGTACAGACGCTTTGGAAGACAGTTTGGAGGTTTCTTACAAAACTAAAAATCTCCAGAGAAGTTGAAAACTTATGTCCACACAAAAACCGGCACATGGATGTTTATAGCAGCTTTATTCATAATTGTCAAAACTTGGAAGCATTGAGATGCCTTTTAGTAGGTGAATAGATAAAATTGTAGTACATTCAGAGAATGGCATATTATTCAGCACTAAACAGAAATGAGCTACTAAACCAGGAAAGGCCTAAAGGAAACTTAAATGCATATTACTAAGTGAAAGAAGCCAATCTGAAAAGGCCACAAACTGTATGATTCCAATTATATCACATTCCAAAAAAGGCAAAACTATGGAAGCAGTAAAATGATCAGTCGTTTCCAGAGATTAGGAAGGAAGGAAGGCTAGAGAGGCAGAGCACAGAGGATTTTTAGGGCAATGAAACTACTCTGTATGATACTATAATGGTGGATACATGTCACTATAAATTTGCCCAAACCATAGAATATACAACACCAAGAGTCAACTGCACTGTAAGCCATAAACTTTGGGTAATAATGCTGTGTCATGTAGGTTCATCAAATGTACAAACGTCCCACTCTGGTTGGTAATGGGGTAGTTATGCACGTGTAGGGGCAGGGGTGTATGAGAAATCTCTGAACCTTCCACTCAATTTTGATGTGAACCTAAAACTGCTCCGAAAAATAAAGCCTATTTTGAAAAACAATCAACAAGGCCTGGCAGACACTTGAAAGTGAGAAGTTAGGAAGTGCAAGGCCAAGGTGTTAAAAGGCTCACAGTGAATTTCCAATCATCGAAGCTGAAAAAATAGTGATAGTGGAGTGTAAATATATTAGCAAGGTGTGAAAATATTCATAAAAAAGGAGGAAACTATTTTCATTATCAACAACTTCTAGTAACAAGAACCAAGGGAAGATGACTTCAGTTGATGATGGAAATGTCGAGTAACATTGTTTAGCAATACTATAGAATGTTATGAAATAAAGGAGAACAGCAAAAGGGAAACAGACTCCACAATCATGATCCAATGTGACGAGACATAGGGATCTAGGCAGATTACAGATTTCTATGAATCTCAGTTTTCTCATCCTTAAAACTTGAGAAATAAAACCACTTTGTAGCTATGAGTTAAGGGAAATCTTTTCTCACCCTGTCTCTACCATGTTGGACCTAAGACTATATCTGCTATTGGACATGTGTCCTAGGAAGGCAGATGGAGAGCTGAAAATACCAGCCTCATGAGACCTTTATTCCTATTATTATCTTTGCATTTTTTTTTACAAATACAAAAGAAATGTAAAAGCTATAGACTTATAAGTTTTATTTGATTGTATCCAAAGACACAAGCATGTAAAGCAGATTCCAATAAACACAGACACATTTCAAAGCCCTTCAGTGTCTGTTGACTCCCTGTCAGGGGCTCAACTTCACACATTATTGAAAGGGAAAGGAAAACCATCCGTTACCAGCACATTAGCCTGTCACCTAGCTCCCCTGAGGTGAGCTGATTTGAGTGTCACATTTCAATAGTAGCACCTTCTTGCTATTGAAAAAACCCTCACACTTTGACAATTTTTCATCTTTGACTTATGCTGCAATTTCCTCCTCATTCTCCTCACTGGTCTCTACCGTTCTCCCTTGCAATCAGTCTGAAGTGTCTCAAAAAAATTGTTTTGCTCCCTGATGCTTACTACTCCTGCTTTAGTTCCATCTCTGGCTCTGGCTTCCCACTGATTT